TCAGCCCTCAGCTCTGGACACAGCCAGCTCTGGCCTCTTGGCTCTCCCCGCCCCTCCCCAGGTGCTAGGACCCTGTTAGCTCTGGTCTCTTGGCTCTCCTGTCCCCGCACCACCCCCTCCAGTCACAGCCCTGGCCTCTCGGGGGCCCCCCCTTTTCCCAGACACAGCCCCAGTCTCTTGGCCCCCCTCTGGCCACTGGAAGAGGGCCGGGGCTGAGCCAGGGGATGGTGGCAGTGGCTCTTCACTGCCTCTGGGGTTCCATTACTCTGGGACGCAGCAGGGAACTGCTGCCTTGGCCTGGCCTGCGTTTGGGCCACCAAACTCCAGCCTTGAACCTCGACCCCCGCAAGATTATAGTGCTAGCACTGGATTCCTGTAGGGGAGGGGCGGAGAGGAGAGAGCCCTGAGATTCCATGGAAGCACGCGCACTGCTCTTCCTGTCCCCACAGCAGCACTTGCGCTTCCCCACAAGCCAAATCCACCATGGAATCTTGGAGCTTTCTCCTCCCCCGCAGGAATCCAGTGCTGGCTGTGTAAACTTTCAGGGGGCAGGGTTCAAGGCTAGAGTGCTAGCCAGGCGGGTCCCAGAGCATTGGGGCCCTGGACCTCAGTGAGGAGACACTGCCACCACCCCCTGGTTCTTCTGCAGGGGCAATCCTATGAGGGGTCAACTTCCCCTTCTGGGGACTTTGTTCAGGCTGGGATGTGAGGTGATGCAGAGTAGCGATGATGTCATCGTGTCGCTCTGCAGGACACAGAATTAAAATAAAATATGAAGCGGAAAGAATAGTCACGTTTTCCATATGCACAAAGAAAGTCAGACTGTTTAAAATACCAATTTCTTTTCAAAAACAGGTGCCTCGTCCACATTTTGAGAGAAACTACAGTAAAGTATTCCAAGATCCGTTCTTTTCATGTTCAGTGTCAGCTTGATCTGTGCAGACATGAGGTGCGTTATGGTTGTTTAAGAGAAGATGAGTGTTTTTATGCACACAGTCTTATAGAGCTGAAAGTCTGGATAATGCAGAATGAGACAGGTATGTTTTTAAATACTACCTACCCACAAAAAGATAAAAGAAATACAATTAATTGACGCATTAGTGAGTGTCTTCTGCTTACATCCTTCTGTAGTTTTCTGTATATCTAGTAAACATTGGTCAGTTTACCTGCTAGCAAATTGGTTTTGAGTAAGATTGCTAGACCTATACAATTAGAAAACTTCAGCTTTATCTAAAAGCAAATAATTTCTGACCCATAGAAGTGTCCTGCATTCATGGGAGGACTAAGTATCTACTACAGGTTGGACCTTGCTATTCTGGCATCCTGGGAACTCGACTGGCCCCAAATGAGGGGATTTGCCAGACCAGGGAAGGTTCCTCCTCCTCATGGCCACTTTGCCACCTGATTAGGGCTCCAGTCTGCCCCTGCTGCTGCCTGGCTCTCTCCCTGGCCCCGCTGCTGCCAGGGCTGGAGCGCCATGGCCAGAGTTCCGCAGCCAGGGTAGAAGTGCGCAGCTGCCTGGCTTTGCAACTGGGGCAGAACTCCACAGCCACTTGGCTCTGAAGCCACAGTGCAGGGACAGGGCTGGAGCTCCCTGGCTGCCACTGGAGTTGGGGCTGGAGTTTCCCAGCCGCTGGAGCCAGATTGCGGTTGCCGCTTTGCGGCCAGGGCCAGAGCTCCCTGGCTGGGGCTGAAGGCCCACCACCATGGCCAGGCTAGAGCTCCCCAGCCACTGGGGCCAAGGAACTCCGCTGGGGCCATAACTCTCCACCATGCTGAAGCTTCCCCCCCAATTCATATGAGAATATTGCTGGCTGTTCCCCTTCATCAGGAGGTGAAAGGAAAGTGCTCAGTTTTCTGCATTCCTCACTCCAGCTGTGAAGCACAGGGGGGGCAGACTAACCTGGCCCTGCCCACAATGGAGCTGCAGTGGTCATGGAGAGGCACTTCTCATCAGGCTCCATGCTTCTGCAGTGAGACGGGGCTGGAGTAGTCTTCTCCCTTTGGAGCAGCTTGCATTCTGAACCCCTCATCCCCACCCAGAGCAATGATTTAAATGAAGCATGTAAATTTTCACTTTTATTTTCAAAAAATAAAAAAATTAAGCATTGAGCAGTGCTGGGTAAATCTTCTAGTGGTCTATTTTTTATTAGTGTTTAAGCTTAAGGTCTCAAATGTGTTTTAGTTTTATTACAAAATTGCTTTGACTAGAAATTGAAATTTATTTTGAAGGTAAGAGAATGTTTCTGCAGAGTAAGAGAGACCTTTATCGGGCTTATCTTTTTATTACAGGTCATTTACCCAGTTTTGAATTTGTACTCATCTAGGGTGTGTCCAAACTACATGGCTGATCAGCTGTTGGTCGGCTCAGCGCGCGCTAGTCTGGACGCTCCCGCGCCGACCTGAAAGCCCTTTATCGACCTCCCCGTTATGCCTCGTAGGATGAGGTTTACCAGGGAGGTCGATAAAGGGCTTTCATGTCGGCAGGGGAGCATCCAGACTTCCCCGATCTGCCGACAAACAGCTGATCGGCAGAGTGGGGCAGCCATTTAAATTTCATTTCCCTTTGCCAAACAAACAAATCTACATCCGTCGACAGAGCCATGTAGTCTAGACGTACCCTTAGTGTTTTTGTTTCTGTAGCTCAAATTTGCTAAATGTTGCTACAAAACTTTCTTGTTAAATCTCTTCCTTTCTTCACCTTCTTGATATGGTATTGATGCTCCTTCCCACCAACTTGCAGTGGACCTTAGTTCTAGCGGTGTTCCTGTGGGTGCTCCACTGATGTCTTGGCGCACCTTCGTGCTGCTGATTGGAGATTTTGCCTAGCAGTGCCTTCCTGCACCACACATGTGCAGTTGCTGTCTCGCACTGTTTTAGTCCATTAGATGCATGCATAGCGCGATCCTCCCTAAGTTCCTTTTCTACCATCCTCAGCTGAAGATGGAGTCACAGCAGTGCTCTCCTTCTGACAGAATGTTAAAAAAAAAAAAGTACAGTTAGTTTACAAATTGTAAATAGTTTTATTCAGTTTATACCCTAAAATCCTGACTATAATGCATACCTATGCATAATGCACACCTACCTTTTAAAAATGAGAATTCCAGCATAAACTGAACTCCTGTCTATAATGCGCACCCCGACTTTGCTGTATTTTGTCTTGCCTTTTTGTATTGCTGGGTAATCACACGTGAGCGCACGAGTATACAGTGCGCGGCGTTTCCATGCTGTCTTTGGGATGCCATGAGTTGTTGGCGATCTTACATGATTGCTGAAAAACTTAAAGTTGTTAGCTATGCTGAGGCTCATGGCTACAGAGCTGCCAGCCATGAATTTGATGGCAGAGCAGAGTCTAACATTTGGCTTTGGAGACTGCAGAAAGAGCACCTACAAGCGCTGCCTCAGATGAAGATGGCTGAGCGAGGTTAAAGTGCTGCATATCCTGAATTGGAGGCCAAGCTGGTTGAATGGATTGCTGAGTGTAGACAGCAAGGCGGTGGTGTTAGCATTGCGGAAGTTAGAATGAAGGCTTTGACCATGGCCAAAACGTACGCTAATACAGCCGGGTTTAAAGCTTTGCATAGCTGGGGCAATCGGTTCATGAATCGCCATGGCCTATTGGTCCGATGCCAAACAACAGTCAAACAGAAGCTACCCATGGACTCAGACGGTGGCATTAGAATTGCGGAAGTTCGAGTGAAGGCTTTGACCATTGCGAAAACGTGTGCTAACACAACCAGGTTTAAAGCTTCGTATGGCTGGGGCGATCGGTTCATGCATCGACATGGCCTATCAGTCTGACGATGAATGACAATCGCACAGAAGCTACCCATGGACTCTGACACCAATTCCAGAAGTTTATCATAAAACTACTCAAGGAACACAGGTACGACCTTTCATTAATTGGTAGCGCAGACCACACACCTTTAAATTTCGATAATCCTTACGATAGAATGCTTGAAGTGAAAGTGGCCAAGACCGTATCAACTGTTACCACAGGACATGAAAAGTTGAGGTTTACTGTTATGCTTGCTTGCATGGCCGACAGAACGAAGCTGATGCCTTATATCATCTATAAGTGCGAGACAATGCCAAAAAATGTTATATTCCCGAAGACTGTTCACGTGCGTGTTCACCCTAAAGGCTGGATTGACAAAGCTTTAATGCATGATTGGCTACAGAAGGTTTGGGCAAAGCGGCCGGGTGGACTTATGAGAAAGAGGTCTGTAATAGTTTTAGATGCATTTCATTGTCATCGTATGCCATCGATCACGAAAATGCTTCAGCATGACAAAACAGACTTGGCAATATTCCTGATGGAATGACCAAAATGTTGCAACCGCTTGATGTGACAGTTAACAAGCCAATGAAAGATGCACTACGTAGGAAATGGAACACCTGGTTCTTGGAAGGTGAACATACATTTATTGCAGGTAGAGGTATGCGAATACCGACGCTGCAAGATGTTACCCAGTGGATAGCGGATGTCTGGGTTGAACTTGATCCCGCTATCGTAAGGAAGGGGTTTCTGAAATGCAGCATCTCTAATCCTATGGATGGCAGCGAGGATGATAACCTGTTGATGGATCCGAGCGACGATGAATTGTCCGAGGGCAAACTGCCGGTATGCGAAGATGACAACGATTTGTATTACCTGGATGAAGATGTCGAGAAGATACCCCGGAAGATATTGCTCGTCTGTTTGAGGAAGATTCTAACAAATGTGAATTCGAGGGCTTTGAAGATGAGTAGAAGATCAATTAACATATGGTATTTGCTTGTTTGTGCTGCAGTGTTGATTTCATTTGTTTAACTTACTTTTTTGAAACTGTGTGTATAGTTGCTTGTCGATGCTAATAAAAATCAACTTAACCTCTGGTGTCCAGCGATTAAGTGCCGCGGAACCGCCAAATGAAAACTTAAGGGAAAAAAAACTCGTATAGATAATGCGCACCCCGACTTTGATGTTAAACAAAAGGGGAGAAAAAGTGTGCACTATACTTGCGACTTTACGGTAAGTAGTTTCACCTAGTTCCTTATTTCAAAACCAAAAAAACCTGTTTCCCAGGAGTTTCTCTCTCTTCTCCCCCCCACCCCCCATTACTTTGTTTCTCTCCAAGTTCTGTATCTTCACGTTTGTTCAGCATGCCAGGCTCTCCTAGCTTCAAGAAATGTGATTCATGTAGGGACTCAGTGCCGATGATATGTGTCCTGTATTTAAATGCCTGGGAGAAAGCCATGTAGTGCAGAAGTGCTCGCATTGTCAAAACATGATGGCCAGAGTGAGGAAAGACCACAAAATGAGGCTGAAGAATCCTCTGGGAGAAATCCCTCTAACCACCGGAGGATAAGCCCCCAGACAGATGGGCGCACACAGCGCCCGGTGAGAGGGCTAGTTCATTGCCCCACCGAGGCTCTGGAGTGCCACAGGCTTTACTGGCACAATCACTGCCCACTCCATGGTGCTGTCTACTTCCAGCACCGGGGAGAAGTGAAAACTGGCCTCAGCGAAGAGATCGGAGTTGGAACCGAAATGCTTGGCACCCGCTGATGTCATGCTGCTGCCAGGGCACCCACAGGCATCCTGGCACCAACTGAACAAGCCAGTTCCTGGCAGACGGAATTAAAGCATGGTCTGGTACCGGAGCATAAGACAGCGGTTCCCAAGACCTGCCACTTACAAAAAGCCCCACATTTGGGGGCCCCATCTCCACTGGTGCAGGAAGTACCTTCATCACACTCCCCAACATTACCTCACTCCAGCTCTGTCACGTATCTCTCCCCACTCGGGGCTTAGTTCTCCCACTGGGGCTCCCCTTGCAGGTGCTGCCACCTCCTTCCCGCCGTAAAAGCCGGGTTTGCACATCTGGCGCCGGTCGTGAGCGGAGGGGGACCTGGGCCCTCCCTCTCTCCAGGTCCCAGCCCAGGACTCTTAAGAACAGGTGTCGTGGACACCCTGCCCAACCGGGGGGGGCTATAGCAGCAACTCATTGGTCCCCGGGTTCTCCCTGATCCCGTCCTGGGCTGCTACCTCCTCTCCGGCCGGTCACCGGCTGTCTCCCACATCTGGCGCCGGTCGTGAGCGGAGGGGGACCTGGGCCCTCCCTCTCTCCAGGTCCCAGCCCAGGACTCTTAAGAACAGGTGTCGTGGACACCCTGCCCAACCGGGGGGGGCTATAGCAGCAACTCATTGGTCCCCGGGTTCTCCCTGATCCCGTCCTGGGCTGCTACCTCCTCTCCGGCCGGTCACCGGCTGTCTCCGCCAGGCCGATCCTCCAGCTCCGGTGGTCTGGTCTGGTCCCAGCTGGTCCAGAGCGGCTACCTCCCTCCTTCCCTGCTCACAGCTGGGAGCTGCCTTTTGAAGCCGGCGCCCCTTTCCGGAGATGCCAGCGCATGTGTTCCGGGCCCTATGCCCCTCCCCCGGGGCACCCGCTGGGGAACCTCCTGCGCCTGCGCCAGCAGCCGCCACCGACCTGTGCCTTCTGGCGCCCGAGTGCAGGGCGCGGGGCTAGCCTCTGCAGTCCCGTCACAAGCTCATGTAGACAAAGTATAGAAATATTTTCTAACTCTCCTACACCATTGTCACTGCGAACTGAACATGGCAGCAGGCAGGGGAGAAGATTTTCATCACATCACTAATCCCCAATGGGATTAGTGGTTCGTGGAACTAAACTTGACACCATCTTTTTCAATAGCCTCCACACCTTCTGTGGCTTGCCGTGGATCCGGGTATGAGTGGGTAACAGCTTTGACCTCAGTGGCCTCTCTGGGAGTCATGGCACCAATATCACCCCTGCTTCTCCCATTGCCACCACTTACGAGATGCACCAGCCTCTACCCCTGTGCATTCAGCCACACAGTCTTTGACTCTCAGAGCACATTCCATTTATTGTGCCCATCTTTCAGTAATAACCCAGGCAGATCCAGCACATGATGATGATAACTTACCTCAATCCAATTCAGAGTTCTTCACAGGCCTTGCAGTTTTCTGCTGTTCCAGACGAGGCAGTTTTCCAAGTATCGCCCTCCACTGGCAGATGACCTAAAAAAATTCCAAGATTATTCAAATGAGTGGCTCAGTCTGGGGACATTACACTCCAAGAAGTGCAAGACTAACAATATAAATTACTTAAAATACTCCAACCTGCTACATCCTCAGAGAGCATTACCCATCAATGAGGATATCATAGAACCATCGTATATACTCTGGCAGACACAGGCCTTTATCCCCTCGACCAACCAGAGAGCTGATAGAAAATACTTTGTCCCAGCAAAAGAGATGGATACTCTTTTCTCAAATCCCTACCCAAATTCATTAGTCATAGATTCAGTTCTTCATAAATAAAATACAACTCTACAACCCCCGATACAACTCTACGACTCGAGAGAACACAAACAACTAGATCTCTTTGGCTGGAAAGTATACTCCTCTGCCACCTTCCAGTTTAGAATATTGATTTACACTGCCCTTCTGGCTCATTATGATTATACCAATTATTCCAGATTACAAGATATTTTACAGGATCTTCCTGAAAACAAGAGACCCTATGTCCAGTCCATCATCAAAGAGGGCCAATCCATAGCAAAAACAGCTCTCTGGATATGATGGATTCAACATCTAGGCAATAGTAATGCTCAGGGCATCCTCGTTTATACTCAGTGGGAGTTCTAAAAGAATTACAGAAAAGGTGGAGGGACCTCTCCTTTGATAGGAACCAACTGTTCGCTACAAAAACAGAGGGGGTGTTACACTCAATCAAAGATTCTCTGCTCCACACTGGGTACTTTAGGCATGTACACCTTGCCTAATAAAAAATGCAGACACGCCCCACACCAAAGACCAAGAGACTTGAACTATCATAGGCAACAGCAGAGGCCATATGACAACAGGCTGGAGCAACATCCCAATAGGAGGACCCAACACAACCAGTCCTCCAATACTCGGTCTGAGTGACCATTCCAAAGATCCAGTGCATCCAAACACAATCTTCCATCACCATCTGAGACCCTTTAACCAACAATGGGCCCTTATTACTATGGACAGATGGGTTCTCAAGATCATCAAATCAGGCTACACAATCCCTTTTACGTCTGTACCCCCTACCCAACCCTCTACCCCGTCCCTCTTCAGGGAGCCCTCTCACAAGCTCGTTACAAGCAAAAGTACAAAAGCTGCTCAGCCTAGGGGCAGTAGAACCAGTTCCCACAGAATATTAGGGAAGAGGGTTCTATTCTAACTATTTTCTAACTGCCAAGAAAACGGGGCTAGAAGCCAATTTTAGATCTCAGAAAGCTCAACAAGTTTGTCTGCAACAGCAAATTCTGAGTGGAGATTCTTGCAACCATTTATACCAGCACTGGACAAAGGGGACTGGTTCTCAGCCCTTGACCTTGTAGACGCAGATCTTCATATAACCATACATCCTGGCCACAGGTTCATGGTAGAACAAGAACGCTACCTATATAGAGAGCTTCCTTTTGGTCTGTCCATAGCCCCTCAAGTATTTTCCAAGCCTTCAGCCATGGTCATGGCCTTCCTCAGGAGGCAGAGCATCATTATTTTTTCCCTATCTCGATGACTACCTAATCAAGGGGCCCACGAGTCAACAAACAATAGCCATGACAAACACTACCAAAGATTGCTTCTCCCAACTGGGCTTCCTTATAAATATCCACAAATCTACCTTACAGCCTACCCAGAAGATAGAATTCATTGGGGCACTTTTAAATGCAGTGACAGCAAAAGCCTACCTCCCACTGCAACAACCAAACGTTACGCAACCTTTCAGGGGAGTCAAACATGCTCCCTTCACCACAGCACACGTCTTCAAATGTTGGGACACATGGCAGGCACAACCTTTGTCGTCTTATTCATGAGACTACGTATGGACTGCCTACAGTCCTGGTTCGTGACCATCTACATCCCCAAGTGACACAGCCTTGCAAAGCGCCTCACACTCCCACCAGTAGTCGTACAATCTCTCGACTGGTGTAACTCTCCAAGCAGTATCTTAGCTGGCATGCTTTTCCATTGCCCAGACCTATCAGTAATGATCACATCTGATGCATCACTTCTGGGCTGCGGTGTCCACTGTGGCACGAGAAGGGTACAGGGAAGATGGTCTCAACTCAAGATGCACCTCCATATCAACATCCTGGAACTCAGGGCCATCTGCAAAGTGTGTGCTCACTTCATTCCCCTTATAAAGGGCAGAACTATTCGTGTCTTTATGGACAACACATCCTTTCTGTTCTGCATTAATCTACAGGAGGTTGCCTGATCAATCTCTCACTGTGTAGAAGCAATCAGTTTGGAACTGGTGCAGCAAGAACCAGATAACCCCAACAACCACTTACATTCCAAGCCAGCAGAATACCAGGGCCGACAAACTGAGCAGACGCTTCTCTGAACACGAATGGGAACTCAATCGCAATGTTCTCCTTCCAGTTTTCTGAAAATGGGGATTCCCAATCATAGATCTGTTTGCCACAACAACCAAACACAAATCTGTTCCTGAGCAGGTCACGGCAAGAGATCAGAGGGAAACGCCTTCACCATTTGCTGTATCGCTCCTCTACTCTATTTTTTCCCACCAATTCCCTTACTCTCCAGAGTAATCAACAAGATCCATTCCGACTGAGCTGCAATAATTCTGATCACTCCCTGTGGGCTGAGACAACCTTGGTTCTCTTACCTACATCACCTATCAGTAAGTCAACCAATTCCTCTCCCCATGAGCCCCCACTTGCTAACCTAACTCTGGGGCAAGACCCACCAACCCAAACATGAAAACCCTGAAACTCACAGCATGGCTTCTTCATGGTTCCAAAATGAAGAACTTAACTGCTCAGAGAGAAATAAGCAGATCCTACTAAATAGTTGACATTCCTCCACAAGATACACCTGCCAAAACAAATGGAAATGCTTTTTGGAGTGGTGTAGGCGTTCATCAAATTACAACCAAACACCGCCCTAACACCTACCATACTGGCGTACTTGATGGACCTCAGTGAGGCAGGCCTCTCCATCAGCTCGGTTCGCATCCATCTCTATTACAGCTTTCCGCAAACAAGTTGATGATCTCTCACTCTTTGCACACTTGATGACGAAACGCTTCTTAACAGGCTTGCGGAAAACACATCCACATTTACATTCACCTGTACCACCTTGGGACCTAAATCTTGTACTTGACACACTCACCACTAGCCACGGCCCCACCATAATACCTATCCATGAAACTGGCTTTCATAATGGCAATAACAGCTGCAAGATGAGTGGGCAAAATTGCAGTCTTCATGGCTCACCCCACTGTACAGTACCTTTACTAAGGATAAGGTCACCCTTGGGCCTTATCCCAAGTTCCTCCCCAAAGTAATATCAGAATTTCACCTGAATGAACCCACATACTTATCCATGTATATCTCCTAAACCTCACAGCTCTCCAAGAGAGTCCATCTTGAACACTCTAGATGCCAGACTAGCCCTCACATTCTACCTAGGGAGAACCAAGGAGACCAGGAAATCAGACACACTCTTCATCTGTTTTTCTCATCCCCACAAGGGAACAGCCATCTTTGCACAACGCATTTCCAAGTGGATTGCGAGCTGCATATACACAGCTTACCAGCTTCCTGGAAAAGAACCACTACAGACCATTAGGACATACTCCACACATGCGATAGCTATATCAGTTGCTTTTCTACATAATGTGCCACTAGTGGACAGTTGTAGAGCAGCGACACGGTCTTCCCATCATACTTTTGCACAATATTATGGCCTACAGAAAGGACCCATACCTACCATCACTTTAGTAGATGCAGTCCTTGCTTCTTCACATAATGGCTCCAACACCCACCACCACATGGCAGGTACTGCTACTTAGTCACCTTAGTGGAGCACCTACGGGGACACCACTCGAAGGAGAAAAAGTTACTCACCCTGTGCAGTGACAGTGATTCTTCGAGATGTGTGCCCCTGTGGGTGCTCAATTACCCTCCTTTTCTCCCCTTTATAGGATTTCTGGTAGAAAAGGAACATAGGGAGGATAGTGCTGCATGCGCATCTAATGGACTAAAACAGTGTGAGATTGTGCATGCGTGGCATGGGAAGGCACTGCTAGGCAAAATCTCTGATCAGCGGTGCACAGGCACACTGAGACCTGTGTGGAGCACCCACAAGGACACACATCTTGAAGAACCACCGTCACTGCACAGGGTGAATAATTTTTACTCTCTTTACCTTGCAGTCTGAGGGAACACTGCTTGAATTATTGAGTTGACCATCATGGATGGCAGTGATGCCCAGAAAAAGGGCAGTGTGGAAGTGACAAGGTTTCCCATAGTTGGGTCCCATTTTTGCCCAGACTGTGATTCTGAATGTGCTCCTTCCTTGGAAAGGAACATCAGGTCAGCTCTTCTGTCAGGAAGTATAGTGGCCAACTTAGGATGACCCCAGGCCAAGAAAAATTTCAGAGGAAGACAGTCATGTGGTGGTATACAGAGTTCTCCGTCACTCAGTCCATTTATCTCTGCGTGGCCTTTGAGGATTTCGTTGGAAGGAAGGGCATCTGGTCTCCCTTCTTTTCTTGTCCCCAAAATGTCTAAGTTCAAGGTTAGCTGCAATTCCCTTTTAACTCAAACTTTTTTTTTAAAGTGTTAGGCCATTGCACAAATACGAATGTACATGTGTGTGCTTTTCACCTAGAGTACATCTACATAGCAACATTATTTTGAAATAATGCTAATAAAACTTCGTTCATGTCTACACAGCAAGCAGTTATTTCAAAATAATGTCAAAATACTGTCAAGCTAGAGGACAACTTACTCCAATTCCTGTAACCCTCATTGTATGAGTAAGGAAAATCGGAGGAAGAGTGCTCTATTTTGAAATAAGTGCTGTGTAGACGCGTCCAATTTCAAAATAAGCTATATTGAAATAAGGTACACAATTGACGTAGCTCAATTTGTGTAGCTTATTTCTAGTTAAGCCCTACTGTATAGACACACACCTACACATGTGAAAGCTCAGCTTCACATTTTCTA